GATGCACATCGCAACCACGGGCAATCAGAACAGCAAGCGGCTGAAAAAAGTGCTTTCAGAGGGGAAAAAAATTGTACTAGCAATTTTTTTAGGAAACAAAACGAACGTGAGGATCGTCAATCAGAAGAGTGACACATGCAATATCATTATTCTCAATAAAAATTTTTCAGCCTTTTCAAATTATCCTGATACATAGGTTTAACATGAAGTTGCCAACAAAAGCATCTCAAAAAAGAACTGACTATGGCGATACGGTGCTTTACCGTAGCCTACTACTGGTAACGGACGAGTTAGTAAAGTAAAAGACCCCATGGGCCGTTTGGGCCCTGTGGGGGGAAGGAATTGGGTAAAACCGGTACTGGATGACTCTAACTAGGCCGTCCACAAGACGGAGTCGATCCTAAAGTAAGAACGGGACTCCATCGAGTGCTTTCTCGGGAAGAGCAAGCAAATCCTTCAGGAAACAAAATGAACGTCAGGATCACCAAAAGACTGACCACTCAGGGATGTAACATTGGTCAAAGACAATTGCAAAAAATGCGAGCTGAATTTTCATACTATAAATTAACAGCTGTTCCGCATATACAAGGTTGGAAAGCGATGAAGGAGCTGTTATGTCTAAATGACCACAGGGGAACAGAACATTTTTAAATGAGTGGCACTGTGGAATATCATCATAATAAATAGCTACGCGCACCAGACTAGCCGATGCGACCATGCGTTTTGTGCAATTCAGCCCATCGAACGATTGCCTATTAATGATTTTCACTGCTTTTGTATACTTTAGTTTATGCAAAAATAGTTCAAACATTGGAAAACGATTAAAAATTTCACGCACTAGCGCATGAAAGCTGAATTCGAAACCTTGAAGGGTGAGTATCTTTCCGTGATTCCCGAGTTAACAGTTTACCCACCAAAACTTTCACGACGCCGTCGGTGATACTCAAGAGCGCGGGAACGCTGAATTTGAACAGGCAAGGTTGAGCGTGGGCAGGGGGTCATTACACTAAAATTTCAGCTCCCTAGACCTCATGATTCCCGAGACAATAATTTACTCGTGAAAAAAATTCACGGGGCCGCACGTGCTACCCGCGAGTACGGGGAAGCTGAATTTAAATTTGCGGGGTCACACGTGGGTGAGGACGTTACCCTAAATTTTCAGCCTCCTAGCTTTTGTGGTTCCCGAGTTGAAAGTTGCGGACAAGCTGCTGCGGACAAACACAGACAACCCCGTGACAATATGCGTTTTGTACTGCTGTTACAGAGCACAAAACGCATAAAAAGGGCAAAGAAGTGAAACTCCCTCGGCAGGATCAGTCGGCCAAAAGGAGTCGAAAATCGCTGTTTTCTGTAGAAATGATACATCTATGAGATGGGAAAAGTGGGGCAAACAGTTCAGGACTGCAAAACCAGATATAACGCCACGCTAGAGTTATGTGGGATATTCCAGCGGCATCTAAAGCTTAGCAGTTATAACTCAGGTAATCAGCGGTACATAGATGCCTCAATACACAATTTAAATTCCAGTGTGAAGGGAACTCAAGCACTTACCGGGAAAAAGAAGCAAAAGAAGAGTTTGATCAATGTGCAGCACATTTCCACCGTTGTCCAAAGAACCAAACTGCAGTTGCTCAGTTGTTAAACTTTCCTAAAAGCTGTAATTTATCACATCCAAAATGAAAAAACTGATAAATAATGCGAATGTGACACTTTCGGGTGACTAATTCCAAGCACACACTCGTACCGGTGATCCTAACTGTGGAAGAGTCTAAGAAAACGACTGAGAGAGCTGGTGAATTGCAAAACGATAAATACCCACCATTTCCCCCGATGGGTTAAGAAAAACCAGAAAATGCAGACGCTTCTAGCTAAAAGAATTGAGACTGGCCACCAAGCTGCCAGAAAACATTCCCTCAAAAAATTTCAATTTTCTAACTTTTCTGGTCCCCGAATCAGCAAATTATTCATCAAAAACTTTGATGGGTCCATACGTGAAAACCACATGGGCAAGAGCGTCCATTTTGGGGATGTTGGCCTGTACATGCATGCAGATTAAGTTCCCAAAGTTTCAGCCTTGTAGTTTTTGTAAGTCCCGAGAGGAAAAATCGGTACAGACGAACACACAGACGAAATACACACAGACAACCTCCTTATACATTGCATAGATGCAAAAAACGCATAAAAATAACATTAGATAATGTATTTTTGATCACAGCAATCAGGAAAAAATTGCCAGAGGCAAAGACAGTATGAAGGTGCTCTGCGAAGAAACAACAACTGAGCAAAGTGTTACAGCAAATATCTAGCTGGTCCAAATCCCCAGAAAAAGAACTGAAAAGAACTGCCATCACAGGACAAAGCAGGGATTCCCGACCAAAAGCGAAGCCAAAAAAAACTTTTTTTCGATTTTTTTTTTCGGATCGTTTCCAGTGTTAAACAAATACTGCGTGCAAGTACAAGCAGCTAAGCAAACGGGACAAAAACATTTTCAATTTACTCAACAAATATTTATCTGTAATATAAAAAGTAATTTATAACAACGTAACATGTAGCATTGTAATTTTAATTTTAGATGATGTGTGTTTATGTAAAAAGTAACATGTAGCATAAAGAAAAGATCACACAAAAAGAATAAATAAAGAGTAACGAAATTTGAAAAAAAAAAAAAAAATGGACAAATTAATAGGTGCAGTAATGGAAAAGTTAGCGACTTTGTAGCAAAATTTTATAAAAAAAATTTTTAAGGAGAATCTTTTAAAAGAAATTTACAAAGAAGAGCTTATTTCGAGAACCCTGTAAATTCATGAAATATTATAAAAATAAGTATAAAACTAAAAATAAAACTGCTAATTTTAAAAAAAAAAAAAAAAAACTATAACCGCACGTCTTGAAAGGGATGCTTCAAATCACGAAATCGTTAACATTCTTTTCTAACATTGTATTAAATGTCAAAACGAGAAGAGTAAAACAACTGGCCAACGCACGGGCTGCCGTGCGAAGACGCGTTTTTTGCACAGTTCTCCGCAGAGTTTTGTTGCTAACGGCACTGGTTTTTCCGACAGATGCTTCTAGCTAAAAGAATTTCAGACCGGCCGCTAGGACTGTCAGGAAACATCCCCTCAAAATCCCAGTCTTCCAGTTTCTCACGTTCCCGAGTTAGCAACTTACCCGACAGAAACCTTCACGCGCCCTTACGTAGGTATCACGCTCACCCGTGGGCAGGGTTTGAGTTCGTTAATGCCCAACTGGACGGGGAACATCACCCTAAGATTTCAGCTTTGTAGTTTCTCAGATCTTTGAGCTATGAACTTACCCGTAATGAACTTGCCCGTAAAAAACTTTGAGCTATGAACTTACTCGTACACGGGTACCACGCGGGCAAGGACGCCCATTTTGAGGATTGGGGCCCGTACGTGCATGTAGATTACGTTCCCAAAGTTTCAGCCCTGTAGCTTTTGTAGGTCTTGAGATGAAAAACCATGACAGACGCACACACAGACAACCTCTCGTCAATATGTGTTTTCTGCATTGCATAGCTGCAAAAAACGCACAAAAATACTTATTGTGAGCAAACGATAAGAGGGTAATCATCATTTGTGAAGCTCAACACATCCTGAAATGATGATTCCTCAACGGGACTGAAAATAACGGCGTTAAAAAACATCCCGAGTGTGATCGGATAGAAATATGACATGCAATCAGTGCTAACAGTATATTACCCGAGAAAAAAGAACAACATCACACATCTATGCACAAAACGGAGGGCCCCTAGAGAATGCAGGAAATCTTAGGCTTAAGAACTCGACAGTCCTTTTGCATAACTCCTTTTTTGAAGTAAACAGCCGCAGATTAATAAACTAAGCCTTTTTTTTCTTCTTTTTAGCTTTTCCCATACAACAGCGGTCATGTCCATAGGCGAAATCAAGGAGAAGGTGATGGGTCTTTCATCCTTCCCCCCCCCCCCCCCTCCGGCTATGCAGCGGCACAGGCACCAGTGCTACAAAAGTTTGGATTTAAAGCTAAAACTGAAGAAAACTCTCTTCCGCACCCTCCCCTACCCCTCCCCGAGGGGTCCCACTTCCTCCTCTCCCCGGGAAGCCGCCTTGGATCCGTCTATGGTGATGCTGCAATAGTTCGATGGAATATGTAAATAGCAACGCGCACCGACTAGCCGGTACGACCATGCGTTTTGTACAGTTCAGCCCATCGAACGGCCTGTAAATGATTTTCATTGCTTTTTGCTTTAGTCTATGCAAAAACAGTTCAAACATCGGAAAACAGTTAAAAATTTCACGCACCAGCGCATGAAAGCTGAATTTGAAACCTTGAAGAGTGGATGTCTTTCCGTGATTTCCGAGTTAATAGTTTACCTGCCAAAATTTTCACGAGGCCGTAAGTGAAATTCAAGAGTGCGGGAACGCTGAATTTGAATAGACAAGGTTGAGAGTAGGCAGTGGGTCATTACCCTAAAATTTCAGCCTCCTAGACTCCGTGGTTCCCGAGATAATAATTTACCCGTAAAAAATTTTACGGGGCCGTATGTGTTACTCGCGGGTACGGGAAAGCTGAATTTAAATTTGCGGGGCCACACGTGGGTGGGAAGCATTCCTCTAAATTTTCAGTTTCCTAGCTTTTGTGGTTCCCGAGTTGAAAATTGCGGACAAGTTGCTGCGGACACACAAACACACACACAGGCAACCCCGTGACAACATGCGTTTTGTACTGCTGTTACACAGCACAAAATGCGTAAAAATCAAGTACCTATGAACCATCGAATCTCCGGCAACCGGGAACCATGGCACAGCTGGGCGCAGCATTTTAGTAATATCACTAAAATGAGATGGGCCGAGCTGACTGTTCAGATAATCTTGGTATTTATAGTATCTTTTTGTTTTAAAAAACATTCAAAAGATGTTTGTTGTGTAAAAAAGTGAAAAAAGAAAGGATGATGATGATGGATGGCGGTGTTTTGCGCATATGGGACGAATTAAACTGCATCTTCACGTGCTCAAATATTTCTTCCCGTAGAATATTGCTTTCTGCTCGAAATTGGGCGACACAATCTGCGAGTCGATTTCGTAGAACGGATTCATGGAATGTTTGATGTACATCTCGTACATTTCCTGCAAATACAATAACCTCTTTTCTATGCACAAATGTGAAATGTCAAAATACAGCTGAACAAAGGTTATAGCAGCGAACATCGGTCAGCCCGACAATCGTAAACTCTCCTCCCCCCCCCCCCCCC